CCGCAGGGGGGGGTGGGGGGACCTGGGGGGGGGAGGGGGGGCTGTGCAGCTTTTAATGGGCTCCTCGGGGCCCGATGGTGAGGAAGGGCTGGACCCAGAGGGCAGGGGGATGCTGTGCTGGGGAGGAACAAGCACAGGCAGGGCACACTGGAGCTGGAGGATGCTGTTGGTGGGGATGCTCCAAGCACATGAAGGAGGAGCTGTCTGTGCCGTGGCCCCCCTGGTCCCTGCCTCGTGTACCACAAGAGGCAGGGATGGGACCTGGGCTGTGGGCAGTTGGCACTGTAACAGTGTCTGGTGTCGTGGCCGTGGGTGGCTGTCACCTGGCCCTTGTGGTGACAACCCAGGGTGACACTTGCATTCCTGGCCGCAAGGACAGGTTACTCACCAACTCAAGTTAATGGCTAACCCTGGGGCAGCTCCTGCAGAAGGTGGAAGTTCAGCCATGTGAGGGCTCTGAGGAGCCCAGGAGTGGTGTGGGGAGGCAGCAGCATGAATGGGGGCCACTGCGGAGCGCCTGGCGCCAGGAGCCCCATGCTTGCATCCTGCTCCCTGCAGAAGATGTGGTTCTGGATGCTGAGCTGTTGCTTAGCCCTTCAGGTAAGGGAGGACCACAGTGAACAGCCAGAGAGATGGGGTGAGGGGGAGAGGGCTGGGGTCCTTGCAGGTGGCAGGGCACCCCAGGGCAGGGGCCGCATCCTGCCAGGAAATGGGTGCATGGGGCTCTGGCCAGGGTGTACTGGGAGGGGAGTGGGCAGTGGTGGGCACCGCCTGGGGGGTGTCAGTGAGCATGCATCTGCTCAGAGGGGTTGGGCACAGGGGGCTGCAGTTCTGGGTGCCGCAGGGAGTTGCGACCCCCCCCGCCTCGCTTCCCCACACAGCACCTGGTCGTGCAGGCCTCCTTGCTCTGCATCTTCCACCTCCTCCTCCTGCCCACCCTGCCCGAGGAGTCGCCCCATGCCCAGGCCACCAGCGAGCTGCTGGCACGCAGCCTCTTTGCCTGCGGCATCTCCACGGTGCTGCAGACCAGCCTGGGGAGCCGGTGAGCAAGGGGGACAAAGGGGATGCAGCTGTCACCAGGAGGAGGGTGGCACCGTGGCAGGGCATGTCTCTGTCTCCTCCTAAGCTATGGGAAGACAGGCTTTGCTGGAGGTGGCAAGGGGCATGAGGACAACCATTTGCCCTGCAAGGCTGTCCCCTCCCTGACATCACTGCATCCTCCTCTCTCACATGTCCCTCTAGCAAAACTGCTGTGCTTTCCCTCTGGCTCCTCTCTGCCTTGCTCCAGCACCATACACAGCTCCTCCAGACCACCTGGTGCCCGTGCTGCCCACGCCCCACGCAGGGGCTGGGTGTGTGCTTTGGCAAAGCCCCTGACCTCTGCACGCATCCCATGTGCTGCCGCTTGGGATGTGCTAGGGCACATTTGGGATATGGGGTGACCTCCTGCCACTTTGGGGTTCTCATCTCCTTCCCTTCCCATCCCTCGCTCCTCTGGCAGCCAGGGCTTTGGCAGCAGCCCTGTCCCCTCTTTCCTCCCTAACGTGCCCTTGCTGTCCCCTTCCCCAGGCTGCCGCTGGTTCAAATCCCATCCTTCGAGTACCTGGTCCCTGCCATGGTGCTGAGCTCCCACCTGTCCCTTGGTGCCAGCACGGACAGGAACGGTGAGCACAACCCTGGAGCCTGCGTCCCACGGGGCCCAGGCCATGCCGGCGCCAGGGGAACAGCAGTGACGAGGTGCCTGGTGCATGGGGTAGCAAGATGCACTGCTTGCCTCTCTGGTGATGGTGCACAGCACCCTACTCACCCCTGAGCACAATGCGTCTGGTTGCCTCCCCAGGGTCAGGGCTTATGGGGATGCTGGCATGCTGGCCCTTCTTCAGCCAGCAGCCTCCATGCTGTGTGCTCTTGGACACGGCTCCAGGAGCCCAGCATACACACGCATCACATCCCTCCAAAATTCCCTTCCAGGCACGGCCATGGCCAGCACGTGCCCTGCACCGCACTGCGCCGTCGCAGGGAGCCGGGTTGCCTTGCTGCGAGAGGTGGGTGCTCCTGGGCTGGGGGTCCCTGTCCTCCTGCTCCACCAGCACCCTAGATGTCACCTGCATCCCTGCTCCCCCAGTCCCTTTTCCAGCCCTCCTGGGGATCACCACGAATAAGGGGGGACACAAGGGGATGTGCAAAGGCAATGGAGGTCATGGTGCATGTGGGTGCATATGTCCTTCTGGGCTTGGGGTGAGTGGAGCATGGTTGGAGAATGGGGAATGGGTGATGCTACTGGGGCGATGGGAGTGTGGCCAAGGAGGTGTGTTGGGCTGCTCTCCATGTATCCTGCCCCACAGGTCCCATCCTTTCCTCCCACAGGTGTCTGGAGCCGTGCTGGTCTCTGGGCTTGTTCAGCTGGTGCTGGGAGTGTCCGGCATGTGCGGATGGGCAGCCCAGCACTGTGGGCCCATGGTCCTGGCCCCCAGCCTCTCCATCATCGGGCTGTCCGCATACAAGGAGGCCGCTTTCTTCTGCTCCACTAACTGGGGAATAGCCCTGCTGTACGTGGCCTGGGGGCCATGCTGGTGTGCAGCCCCCTGGGCTTCCCTTTGCCATGGGGACAGGAATGGGGCATCCCCATGGTGCATGGCATGCATTTGGGGCCCCATCGCTGTGATGCTGCGTGGTGAGCTGTGCTCCCTTTCCTAGGCTCGTGCTCCTCGCTGTCACCTTCTCCCAGCACCTGGGGTCCTGCCGCCTGCCCTTCTGCGCCTGGCCCCAGGCTCAGGGGGGCTCCACGGAGCCATCCGTCCCCACCCTGCGCACATTCTCGGTACCGTGGCTTGTCTTCCCCTGCCCCCTCCGCTGCACCCAGGCTTCTCCCCGAGCCTGGCTCTTTGGTGCAGGGTTAGGTGGGACCTAGTGGCCCTGGAGCAGAGCTGGGTGCTGGGAGCAGAGGTAGGGGGAAGTCCTGGTGCAGCTTCTGGGGTGTGGGTGCTGCTGGGGGAGCGCAGGGGATCTGTGCTCAAAGGTGTTGGAGCAGCAGAGCCTGGGATGCTCCTTGCAGTGGTAAGGGGAGATGTGGCATGGCTCCTTGGGAGAAGTGACAGGACAGGGGCCTGTTGTTTGGGGCACAGCAAGTGGGGTGCTGGCAGGGGGAGGAGAATTCTCTGCTGAGGTTCCCCTTGCTGCCTTGCAGGTACTGCTCCCATTTGCTGGTGTCTGCATGGTTTGTGCCATCCTCAGCCATCTCCACGTCCCCTGGGAATCGCTGGACCTGGCCGTGGCACAGCTTTCCTGGGCTAACAGCACCTTCCATGCCCCTTGGCTCCGCATCCCCTACACAGGTGGGGGGTGGCAGGGCTGGGTGCAGCCATCTGCCCTCAGCAAGGGCCCCTGTCACCCATCCCCTCTCCCTCCGCTGCAGGCGAGTGGGGGTGGCCGCTGCTCACCCCTCGGGCGCTGGCAGTGGGCATCGCCATGGCCATTGGTTGCAGCATGAACTCGGTGGGCTGCTACGTGCTGTGCGGGAGGCTGCTGCAAGCCCCCCGGCTGGCCCCCCATGCCTGCAACCGGGGGCTCTGCACAGAAGGGCTGGGAAGCCTCCTGGCAGGGCTGCTGGGCACCCCAGGGGGGACGGCTGCCAGCATCGCCAACGCCTGTGCCACCGGCCTCACGCAGGTACACCCAGGGTGGGGAGAGGAAAGTCAGCAAGGGATGGGGAGGGCGGAGCAATGGAGCAGTAGGTGTGGGGCACCCGTGGCACACGGGCTGTCACTGAACCAGCACTGGGGGTGAAAGGCAGGTCTGTATGGCAGGATGGGGGTACACAGTGGGGGCGTGACACTCCCCATCCTCACTTTCCCGTCCTCCTTTCTGCCAGGCTGGCTCTCGCCCCTCGGTGCAAGTAAGCGCGCTGGCATGCGTGGTGCTGGGCATGTCCCCGAGGCTGGCAGGGCTCCTCACTCGCATCCCGCTGGCGGTTCACGGTGGGTACCCTGCCCTTCCCCTGCACTGCGGTGCCTGCAGCCTGCCTGGCACTGCCTGACTCCTGCCCCTCGCAGGAGGGGTGCTCTGTGTCACCTACGCCGTGGCCGTGGGCACGGGGATCTCCTACTTCCAGTACGCGGACATTGACTCGGGGAGGAACATCTTCATTGTTGGCTTCGCCATGTTCATGGCACTGCTGGTGCCACGGTGGCTCGGCGCGGCTCCAGCTCACCTGGCCACAGGTAGCAGGGACGTTCCCTGGGCAAAGCAAAGCCTCGGGCCCTGTGGCATGGTGACCACATGTCTCCGATGTCCTGGGAGGCTGGGGTGGCTCACAGCAGCAGGCAACTCCCTCTCCAACCCCTGGATCTGCTGCAGCAGCTCCTGCCCCTTCCGTGCTGCTGGGTTGGGATATCCCAGGTGATTCTGGTGCTGTCCCTGCAGGCTGGGTGCCCCTGGACCTCCTCTTCCTCTCCCTGCTCATGGTGCCTGTTTTCTTAACCGGCTTCTTGTCATTTTTCCTAGAGAACACAGTCTCAGGTGAGGGGATGCTACAGCATGCCTGCATGAGCCCCTGCTCTGAGGGCTGGATCTGGCCACGGGACCGTCCCCAAACCACGGGCTCTGCCTCCAGGCAGCCGTGCTGGGGGTCCCAGGGCTGGTGTGGGCCAGGAGGGTGCAGCGGAAGGAAGGCACTCCCATCTCACTGCCCACTGCTCTGGTTGCAGGAACCCCGGAGGAGCGAGGGCTGCTCTCTGAGCTGGCGCCTGAGAAAGCAGGGGCAGGCGATCGCCACCCACATGGAGAGAGGGGCGAAGCCAGCCAGGCATATGGGCTCCCTGCTGGGCTGAGGAGGCTGCTGCCATCCTCCTGCAAAGCCTTCCCCTGCTGCTTCCTCTGCCCGGGGAGTGAGGAGGAGGAGGAAGAGGAGGAGGGCAGCCATGCTGCTGAGGAGGGGACCGCTGCACCAGAGGAAGGGACGCACCTCCTCCCCAAACCCGGCTCGGGGGAGCTGCAGCCAGTGAGGAGGCCGAGTGAGATGGAGATGCCCGCATGGCACACTGTGGCCTGACACTGCGGCACAGGGACACCTCATGGGGGACCGGGGCTGTGCCCCTAAGGCAGAGGAGGAGGGCAGCCATGCTGCTGAGGAGGGGACCGCTGCACCAGAGGAAGGGACGCACCTCCTCCCCAAACCCGGCTCGGGGGAGCTGCAGCCAGTGAGGAGGCCGAGTGAGATGGAGATGCCCGCATGGCACACTGTGGCCTGACACTGCGGCACAGGGACACCTCATGGGGGACCGGGGCTGTGCCCCTAAGGCAGCTTGTGAGCCACTTTGCTCCTCGTTTCTGAAGCCCACATGGACTGGAGGGACCTGTGCATGCTCCCAGCACACACCTCGTTTCCCTGCTTGGGAGTGAGCTATAAAAACCTTCAACCACCTTTGCCCTTTCCAGGGGTTTCCTTTCCAGTCAGGATTTGCCTGGGAGATGCCAGCCTACCCTCCCCTGGTGCCACTGCAGCTGGGGATGTGGGTGCCCTTAGCCCACCATCACCCCATGGATGCAGCTGGGGAAGGGCTCGGTGCTTTGTTCAGCCCCAAAGGACTGTCGCCCTGGGCTCTGCTCGCCCACTGGCACTGTGCTCGGGAAGGGCTGGCTCTCCCTCTCCTCGCTGCCATGTCCTAGCTGTGCCCATGGCCCCTTGACGCCCACAGCACCAGGTGTATACTAATGCCCTGGCTCTGGCACACCAGGATGCCCCAGGCTGGGGGTGCAGCTTAGCTCTGTTCCCCAAAACAGTGAACCCCCTTTCACCTGCAGTGGGTTGGTCCCAGGAGTGCTCACCACTTAACTGCCCCCCAGGTATTGCTCTTGCTGCTAAACCAGCCAGCAGCGGTTCTCTGGGGAAGAGAACATCACCTTTGACCCCTGTGATTAAGCTCAGTGCCTGGGTTGGTTTCCTGCTGCTGGCCGGTTACGCCGACTGCAGCGGAGTCCGCACCAGCTCTGCTCTAGCGTTTACAGCAGATCAGAGTCCATGGACAGGGCCCTGTGCTCCCAGTGCTGCCTCCACCAGTCTGAACCGGCCTGCAAAAGCTCAACCCTGGCCTAGGAAAGGCTGGGGCTTTGCAGCCCTTGGGTGATGCAAGCCGGCCCTGGGTGCAAGCTTGAAGGAAGGATGGACTTGGGCTGGGAGGATGATGGAACCGGTCCACAGGAGTGACGTGCTCAGGCTGGACCACAGCTCCAGGTTGTGGCTGCCCCCTCCACCTGGTCCCAAGGAGCCCCCTGACGCCCAGGAACACCCAAAGGTGGCTGCAGGGTGGGAGGGACGTGGTGCCACCATGCGTGCAGGTCCCCAGGGGTGAGCCCCCTTTCTCCATCTGCCTGTGATCCCCACAGCTGGGCCCTGTGCACCCAGTGCCTCACCCAGGCAGCACCCTGCCCAGCACCCCACCTGGGCCCTGCACCCCAACCTGGCCCTGCACTCCAGCTGTGCCCAAAGCCCAGCTAGGTCCTGCAACCCACCCTCTTCTGCTCCCCAAACCCTCCTGTACCCTAACCTGGCCATGCAACCCAATCTGTCCTGCACCCCAAAGACCCTGCCTGCTCCCACCTCCCCTGGCACCCCCCTGGGACACAAACCCTCTGGGATGACCACCCTCCCCTGGCCTCGCCCCAAGGGTGGCTGCAGCCTGCACGGTAGGGAGAGGGAGTGAGTGGGTGTGTGTGAATAGGGTGCAAATGGGCGGTGCATGGGTGGGGAGGGTAGTTTGTGGGTGCAGGGTGGATGGCCTCAATGCATGGGGTGCAGGTGGGGGATCACAGTCAGCACATGGGTGCTGGGGCTGGGGGGGGGGGTCAGTGTCTGGGGCAAGGATGGGGCTGTGCTCAGTGTGGAGGAGGCTGGAACGCTGTGGGGGTGTGTGGTGTCCACGGCCCCCTGCCAGGCTGGCACAGCCCTGCTCTGCAGTGTCTTGTGAGCCCAGTCCCCGGGCATGGGGGACACAGGCACCTGCAGCCCCAGCTATGCAGGGCTTGCTGGGGTGCAGCAGCCGAGTCCCAGTGCAAGCCTGGGAGAGCAGCGGTGCAGGTGCATGCCCTGTGCTGTGCCTGCGTGGGCACCCTGTGGCTGCTGGGGCTGAGGAATAAACCGGGGGCCAAGGGACAGGAGGCCCCGGCTGCTGCTGCTTCTCTGGGCTGTACCGGGCCCGCAGCCTGAGGGCTGTCCCCAGCTGGGCACGTGTACCAGGACATTTCATAACAGGAGCAAGTGCAAAACAAAGTCTTAAGGCATTTCAGTTCCCATCGCTTTGCACGGCGTCTTGGCAGTGGCACCTCCTGTGACAACTGGGGATGCTTGAGAGGGACGCACCAGCTCGGGTCCCCATCCTTATCAGCAGGCGACGGAGCAGGGGCCCTGAGGAAGCGACAGCCGCGGCCGGGGTGCC